TTTTCGTCGTTGTCGGCCTCTGGGAGCCCTCGCTAGGCCCCGGGACTGTCAAGAAACGACTCGGGATGCGGGCCCAGGGAAAGGGTCCTCCAGGAACCCCGTGCTGAAAAAATCAAGGCTGGGAGCCACCCTGTTTTCTGACACTTTTGGCGTGCTGCAGGCATGCAGCGCCGCAGTCGTTCTCAACAACAAATCCCCCACCTCCTCTATTCGGGTGCACGCTAACATGGATTAGGGATCCGTGGATCTGGCATGTGGGCGCGAGATCCATGGATCGGGGAAGGTCACCCCGCATATGAGGCCAGTGCCGCCGAATTCGGCGACAGCGCGCGCCGATCTCGTGTGGAAACGGGACCTGGCGCGAATCCACGCGCCTTAAACCATATCAGCGTTCCATCCAGTCCTCCTGTCCCGCCCCCTGTCCCCTGCTCCGCCCTCTTCTGCCTGCCCCCCACCCCCCCGAGGTGGAGGAGGAGGGGGAGGAGGAGGAGGAGGAGGAGGAGGAGGAGGAGGAGGAGGACAAGGACGAGGAAGGAGGAGGAGGAGGAGGAGAAGGAGGAGGAGGAGGAGGAGAGAGGAGGAGAAGAGAAGGAAGCAAGAGGTCAGGAAGGCGCCGCCCGAGGAGAGGAGGAGGAGGAGGAGGAGGAGGAGGAGGAGGAGGAGGAGGAGGAGGAGGAGGGCAGGGGGCAGGAGGGCCCCCCCCGCCCACCCAGTCAGCAGCTGCGCGTCGTGGGGGCCGGCGGTTGAGGGCAGGGCGCAGCTCAGGGTGCCCCAGAGCCCCCCGGCGGCCGGGGGCATGGCGGCGCGCGCGCGGCGACGTCGGGGGGAGGCGAGGGGGGAGGCGAGGGGGACGGGAATCGGACCGGCAACGAGGGAGCGGCGCTGAGCAGGGAGCGGCGCCGAGGAGGGAGGGAGCCAAACGGCGGCCACTGTCTCGTCGGGGCCGGGGCTCAAGGCGCGCCAAGCTCCAGCCCGGAGAAGCTGCACCAGCTCCTCGAGTGCGCAGGACTGCGGTGCAATGCGCACGTGGGAGGGGGGGTGGGCGGGTCCTCCTTCAGCACACAGAACGGCGGTGGGAGCAGGGGGAGGGATCGTACGGCAGAGGGCGGGGGGAGGATGAGGAGGATCAGGCGGAGGCGGAGGAGATTCGGAGGAGGGGACGGGTGACGGTGTCGACGGCGAGGATGATGAGAAGAAGAGAGAAGGATGGTGAGACGGATGAGGATACGAATGATGAGACATAGCAGTGGAGTGTGGAATGGAGAAGGGGGAGGGAGGCAGCGGAGGATATAAGGATGATGAGACCAGCAGCAGGATGACAGGGAGGCCGGAGAGCAAAGAGACGACGCGTAAGCTGATCAGTACGAGCCAGAGAAGGTAGGAGATGAGCAGGCGGAGGAGAGCAACGAGGAGAGCAAGGAGGATGTAGGCGGAGGGCGATGGATGCGAAGTTGGGAGAAGCAGGAAGAGAGGGAGGAGCAGGATGAGGGAATATGGGGGAAAGAGGGGGGGAGGCTCGTCCTGGCACGTGCACCGCCCAACCTCGCTCCCCGCCGCTCCTGCGCCTCTGCGTCGGGCTCCCCTTCGCCAGGCCCTGTCGCCTGCCTGACTGGCCGACCGAGGGGGCAGGGGGCGGAACCGAGGCGGCGGCCAACGAGACGCTGGCGACACCTAGCAAGTGCCCGCGATATCCTACACCGTCTTCGGCCACTGCATCTCTTTGTCTCGCCGCCCCGATTGGGCCCGCGCCTGACCACGCAGACCGACCGGTCCCACAGCCGCGCCTTGCAAGAGGTGCCTGCGGAGGGCGAGCGCTGACGCGCGAGCCCTGCTTCGAGTCCTCCAGGCTCAGCAGCTGCTCGCGAGCCGCCACGGCGCCCAGCCGCCACCACGAGCGCAGCACCACGCTCCCACCACGGCGCCGAAGCGATCCCCTACTGCTGGGCCCGCGATGCCCAAGGCTACCGCTGTGAGTGCCACGAATGCTTGCAATGCGGCGGCAGACGTAACACTAGCTGCGGACAGGTGGCGGACGCGCTCGAGCCCAGCTGTGTAGTCATGCCAGGTGCGGGGCGGGAAGAGGCTCGCACACGCTTTTTGGCGTCGCGGCCACAGGCGCAACGACTCGGCGGGGTCAGGCAGGCGAGGGAAAGAGGAGCGCCCTGGGCCCTCACGCAGCCATCATGTGGGTTGACGCAGGGTTCCGCCACGTGGAACCGAACTGCGTGGGGACTCGTGGGGGCAGCTGTCAATGGGGACGAGCGGGGACGACTAGGACAGGACTGGACCGATGGAAGAGCGACCAATGGGCGGCACAACAAGCCGCCGTCTACTGGAACATGAGCCAAGGTACATCAACCACCCAGGCAAAAGAAGGGCCGACTACCCGCCCATGATGAAACTGAAGGCGGCCACACGCCCACCGAGAGAACAACACCGAAAGCGCTGGCTTCCAACGACCACCAAGACCACATAGCACCGTCAGCAATGATCAGCTACGTCATGCTGTGAGGAAGCAGATGGCGTTCGGAAGGGCTGACCGGAGGAGCCACCGCACGACTCCAAGCTAAAGGATGAGCGGTTAAGGTTGTGTTGCTCCTAACTTACTTAAGGGCCGCATCCCAGCAATAATTTCGAGCACCCAGAGAAGTATCGAAACAGTGTCGCACGAGTATCGCCTCCCAGGGCTCGACGCGTGAAAACTCTAAAGTTTCGGTACTTTCTTAGTGCTCGAAATTATTTCTGGTGGTCAAAGCTAAAGTAGGTTGGAACATCATAAGGATCAGGATCCTCATAATTAGCCGATCAGCGGCAAGCAGCCGCCGCCAACACCAAGAACCGCAGCACCAACCTGAACACTGAGGGCGGTGAACAGCATATTGCATTCTCATCAAGCCCATGATCATCATCACCGTGCATCCCTCCCAGCAGCCGAAGGAGGTCGACCGCATCAAGGAGGAGCTCGACGGCCGCGTGGAGCACAGACAGACCCTTTAGAAAAAACACTCCCAAAAATGTGATGTTTAGAACATTTCAATACGGGATTCCGGAACTCCTGACCCTTTCCCAGGGCCAGTTTTTCGCTCTGAAACGTTGCTTGACGGTCCTGGTGCCCAGCGAGGGCACCAGAGGCCGACAACAGCCGCAGCATGGCACGTCATGTCCTCAGCACCGCCGCCGCTGCCGCCATCGACGAGTACCGCCGAGTGTCAATTCGACAGCCTGCAGGGAAACACGAGCTGACACGCTCGAGTCAGCCGAGCAAAAGGAGATCGAATGGGTCTTACTTTCTTGGTTGGAGGAGGGGGAGGAGGAGGATGAGGAGGAGGATGAGGAGGATGAGGAGGAGGAGGAGGAGGAGGAGGAGGAGGAGGAACAGGAGGAGGAGGAGGAGGAGGAGGAGGAGAACGAGGGAGGAGGACGACGAGGAGGAGAAGGAGGTGGAGGAGGGGGAGGAGGAGGAGGAGGAGGAGGAGGAGGAGGAGGAGGAGGAGGAGGAGGAGAAGGGAGGAGGGGGAAGAGGAGGGGAGGAGGTGGAGGAGGTGGAGGAGGGAGGACGAGGAGGAGGAGGAGGAGGAAGAGGAGGAAGAGGGGAAAGATGAGGGAGGAGAAAGGGGGGAGGAGGAGGAGGACCAGGAGGAGGAGGTGGAGGAAGGGGAGGGAGGGGGGGGAGGGAGGGAGAGGAGGATGAAGAGGGAGGAATGGGGGAGGGAGGGAGACGGGGCGGGTGGGAGGGACGGGAGGAGCGCGGGACGGCAGGAGGCGAGGGGAGCAGCCCGCGGCGAGCGCTCCCCCTCTGGGGGCGCAGGGGGCGGCCGCTGCTGGCCGAGACGTCTGCGGCAGCTCCCGCGGCGGGGCGCCCGCGGCGGGGCGCCCGCCCCCCCCCCCCCCCGAAGGAGGGGACGGCCACGAAGGGCGAGGCAAATGGCAAGAATTGCAGGGCGACGAGATCTATACAGATCCACGGCCCCCCTCCTGAAGTTTTTTCCACGGAATGAACCCATGGCCCCCTGCGCGACGAACACTTGGCAAAGGCAGGATGCGTCTGTCACGGGATATCCCTTGGAAGTGGTGGACTTGTAAAAGTGTCTGTGCAAAGCTGTACACCTGACGTGATCCAGGGATGGTTCAACATGAACTCGTGCTGGAGGATGCACGTCGGGGTGACATTTCAAATCAGTACTCGCAGAGCGAGACTCGGAGACGTTGTCAGTGGCCAGGGGTCCACTGCTCCCTGACCAGCGGTGTGTACGCCACGCCCTCCTGGCTTGGCCAAAGGGCGTGTGCACAGCTCCTGGGCCCAGGAAGGGCCCGGCCACGGAGCAGTGGATGTGTGTGGATCTCGCCGCCCGAGCAGGAAGAAGCGACAAGCACCCCCACGGACCAACATCCACCAAACAACCACCCCGACAGCAGAAGCACCGTCATCAGCTACGTCATGCCCATGAAGCACGTGGCGTTCGGAAAAGACTGACTGGCAGGAGCCCCGCGAGGAGGCTGGGCAATGCCACGGTGGGGGGGGGCCGTCACCCTGAGGGGCAGCCAGACCTGCAATGCTCGCGTCGTGACAGAAATCAAGACGGAGATGTGTGTTGCCGTTTTCGGCCTCTGGGAGCCCTCGCCGGGCCCCGGGGCCGTCAGAAAAACGGTTCAGAGAGAAAAGCCAGCCCTGGGGAACGGGTCGGGGCTTCTGGGGGACGCGTATTGAAACAGACAAGAGGTCACACCTGGGGTCGTCATCCCCCATGCAGGAAATGGGTCACCCTAAACCCCATGCAGAATTTCGGGCGACGGTATCTATACATATCCGTTGCCCCTAGCCCGGCCCATCCTGGAGCCTGGCCAGGGTGCAGCGGATGTGTATAGGTCTCGTCGTCCGAAAAGCCATAGGGGTCACATCTGCGGGGTCGCCGCCTACTCGCAGGAAGCGGGGTCCCACTGGGCGCCCCCGCGCTACCCAGAGCTCCCCCAGGAGCCCCAGAGGCGCGCGCGCGCACGTCCAAAACCAGCGAAATCGTCGATCCCTCCTCGACAGTCGACGCGTCCATGAAGAAGTGGTGCTCCTCCTTGGCACCGCCCGGACAGGGGGAGCTGCGGGGGGGGCGTGGCGCGTCCGGGAGAGGGGGCGTGGCGCCCTCGCGAAGACGCGGAGGCGAGAAGCGGTGTGCAGCAGCAGCAGCAGCAGCAGCAGCAGCAGCAGCAGCAGGCAGCGGGCGGCAGCCAGCAGCCGCACGTGGGCGGCAGGCCTCGGCGGCCGCGGCAAGCGCCTCGGGGCAGCAACGCCTCCCCGTGGTGCAGACACTGTGCGTCTCCGCGTGCGCAGCTCGGGGCGCCCAGGGGGCTGAGGCAAGGTGTGCTCGGGGCCACGCTGCTCCCGTCTCCGGCCTCCCCTCCCCCCGGACTTCCACCGCCTTGGACACACCCCGCGTGGACGTGGTTTCGCCGTTGCCGGCATCTGCGGGGAGCGCTGCCGGGCCTGGCGCCACGAAACTTTGATCTCGGACGCCAGACAAGCCCAGGGGAAGCAGACAAGCGGGGCGAGCATCACAATCACACCTGCTCCCCACAAGAGGCCGCCCCAAAGAAAGCGGCGGTGTGCGAATGAACCCTCTTGGAATACACAATAGGACCCCACCCCAGGTCAGTCGGTCAGCAAGGGTGTTTTTTCTTAGGGGGGGAGGGGAAATGACCTAAATCGACCCTTCCTGACACCCCTCTGGCCTGGGGTGGGTCCTGTGGGAGGTCTGATCAAATCAAAACAGACTTCCCCGTGAAGTGGCCGAAGAGGGGTTAGGGGACGTAATGCCAGTCGCCCCCCTGTGGAAACAGCCGAGACCCCTGGTGCCCGAGAGCCGAGTCCCAAACAATCCGTCGGATATCTGTGCATCTTCCTTCTCTTTCATGGCGCGCATGGAACCTCGGCTCCCGCTTCTGGCTAGCAGCTTTACAGGGCAAGAAGGGCTGCAAACTCACGCGGTGCTTCGTCACGGGCCTGGGGCGTGCTCAAAGGCAGTCACAGCAGCTCCACCCCTTAGAATCTCCGGGTCCAGGTGGCTGTCAGCCGCCGGCGGAGTACTCCATGCAGTGGCCGGTGTGCCCCATGAGATGGCTGACTGGGGGCTTCGCTCTCTCCTGCCTCCTCATGCCTCCTCCTCCTCCTCGTCTTCCTCCACCACCTCTTCTTCCTCCTCCTCTTCTTCCTCCTCCTCCTGCTCCTCCTCCTCCTCCTCCTCCTCCTCTGTCCTCCTCCTCCTCCTTCTTCTCCTCTGTCCTCCCCCCCCCAAGAGTGAGGATCGAGGGATCGAGGTCCTGCTGCGCCGCTGGCCGCCACGCTGAAGGCCTGAGGGCCTCACCGGAGATCTCCTCGTGCCTGGGCGCCCGCCGCCACGGCGAGAGGGAGACGGCAGGCCCTCCCTCGATCTTCGCATCGGGGATCGACTACATCATTGATTTGCCCCAGGGTCCCAAATTAGGCTTGCCTGAGGGGCTCTTTCTTGGTGAATGGTTGGTGCCTCGGGGGCTTACTTTGCACGTTCCCCGGAAATTCCTCGGGTTCCCCGGAATCCCCAGGCTCCCTCGGGCAATGCCGGGCAATACCAACCACTGCGCCCATGCAATAGGAAACTTGCCCCTAATTGGGGTCGCGCTGAGTTCATTAGTTTTTCCGTCGGGCCTGCGGAAAATACGGAAAGAAAGAGCGCATAGATGTGTTCACCGGTGCGGGCTCCCCTGGGCTCCTCTACCCAGGTCGTAGCCTCGCTGAGAAAACGCCTTGAGCCCTACGTCATCAGGGATCGACTAAGACAATGACTTACCCCAGAGTGGATTGTTTCGTCGCACCTACGGAAAATACGCAGAATGCCCCGCAGATCTACAGAGCATTCTACCCGTACGTGGGTAGATTTGGCAGCCAAATCAACTTTGGGGGTGCATGACGACCCACTCCGCGATCATCAACCTGGGGCCTGTCGATTAACAGACTGGGAATAACGAAACGACCCCATGGGGAAGGGGTCGGCAGCCGAGGGCTCTTGGGGGCAAAGGGCCTCAACCATCGCAGCGGCGGAAATATGCTCGCTCCAGCCCTTCATACTCCCGCTCTCCCTTTCCGTCTCCGTGTCTCCTTCCCGCTCCCGTCCCCCCCCCATTGACACCCCCATCCTCCCTCCACCCTTTGCCTCCTCCCTCTGCCCCCCTCCCCCGCTCACAGGGACTGCCGTTTCTGACGCTGCTTGCCGAATCACTTGGTCGAACCAAGGCAACGCAATGAAATGTTGGCCTCCGTACGCCGCAACTGGTGAAGATTCACCCCATTTGTCTCTCGTCATCCTCCCCCCCCTTCTCCCACCTTCCTCCTCCCCCGCTCCATGCCCCGCCTCCTCCCCCGCCTCTTCCCACCCCCAGTTCCTCTGGATTCTCCCCTTTCTCCTTCTTCTCCTCCTCCTCCTCCTCCTCCTCCTCCTCCTGAAATTGCTGCTCTCCCCCCTTCTCCTTCAACACTGGCTCCGTCGGTACTGTCCCTGCCCTGCGCCCCGCATCCCCCCCCCTCCGGCTACCTCCCAGCCGGATATCGCACCGACCACACCGTTTATCATCCAACATTTCCTGATCGCCGTCCTCCGTGCCCTCCTTGTTTGTTGTTCCCACTGGACGAACACAGGCATCCCTGCCCTCGTCCTCCTACCCCTCCTCGGCCCCCTCGCTCGTCCATGACGCAAGAGACGGACCGTCGGGGGCGCGACCGCCAGCGACAAGCAACTTCGGATTTCGCAAGCCCTCCGCCGATCGGTAGTCAGCTCAAGCTCCACGAAATCACCGGCGCCAATCGAGTCCTTGGCGCTCCCGTGGTGGAGAAGAAAGCACTCGCCGTTGTCGTCCATGCTGTCGCATGCGTGTGCGATGTCATCACAATCTGTGCGCGGTGTGAAATACCGCCCGCACGCTTCGTTGTTTCTATGAGAGATGTCGGCCCGACCGCCTCAAAGGTGGTGACGGTGGAGCTTCTCTTGGGTTTACATAGCCTGGTGGCCGGGCTGGTGATAACGCCATTTACTTTACATGTGAAAACTCCCAGTGAGAAAACGCGCCAGACGACGATTCTCAGGTCCGGTCACCATAAGCAAGTCCACCTGAAAGTGCTGAGGCCCCCCCATGCAACAAATAGTCTGCCTGCCCGCGCCCGCTCGCTCGCGACGCGCATGAACGGCGAGATTTTATGCTGACGTTGACACTCGTGCATCCCTTGATCGTGAAGCTGCCTTAAACGGTAAGCAGGAGAAACGTTGTCCACTTCTTCCGACACACGGAAGGAGGCCGTCTTCAATTCAGCGCAAGGCGAACGCCGTTCGATGCTGTCCACATCGGTCCTCATCAGAAATGTCGCCACGATATGGGCGCGAACCGAACGTTTTCCCCGATACTCACATATGTCACACCGAGGGGGTGTCACCTTGAAGCGGGCGCGCAGTGAATCTTCTCCATTACTTTCAAATCTGCGACGCCGAGGGGGCGGCGCCGCGCAGTGGGGGGAGCGCAAGGCTGAGAGAAGCAATAAATGCAGGTAGCGCTCGGGGAAAAGTTTGTCCAATGCTGCCAAGTTTGAGCGTGAAATTGGTGAGGCCTCGTCCATCCCTTTACCACCGACGCCGTCGCCAACGCGACGCGCCGCGATGCCCCGTCGGCGTGGTCTCTTAGACATCGCCCTTTTCGTTCGTCATGATCGACATAAAGCGGTCGCAGTCTGCCGAAGGCCGGACAATGCGAGTTCTCCGCAGCAGCTGAGCATAACAATGAGTGGGACATCGGTAGCGCCACCGCAAGCCTCACAGCCCCGCGAGGCTCGCGCTGGGCCTCCCAGCGTCATCATCCGTGGCCCTGGGGGCCTGCGACTATGATCAGAAACCTGGCCGAGGAAAATCGCGCTCGTAGATGAGACCAGCGTTGGGGACCCCGGAGAGGCAACGGGGTATACTGCGCATCCAAGCCTGTGCCGATGTCCGGGGGGGCCCTCCCCATGTGCGGGCCCGTGCGCGTGAGCAGTGCGCACTGTGGCGCACAGGAGCCTGGAGACGACGCTTCCGAGATTGGGAGCGGAGGCCCCCCTGCGCGCGGCAGCAAGTCCAGTGAATTCATTGACTTCATTGAATTCAAAGGAAGGGGGGAAGGGTCTCTGCCTGTGTCTGCCTGTGTCTGTCCTGCCCCTCCTTCTCTTTCCCTCTCTCCCTCCTCCCCTCCCGTCTCTGGCTGCTGCTGCTTCTGCTTGCCCCTTTCCTTCCACTACGCCGCCATTTTCGATCGAGGAAGAAGGCTGCACAGCATCGCTGGGAACACCTTCCCGCTGAACCTCCCGCGCACTTCCGACCTACATGGCGAACCACCAGGACGACGTGAACTACTCGCGGTCGGCCGTGGGCTACGGGGGCCGCTGCGACATCTACCACCGCTACCCTTCCCATCACAGGGATGGGGCGCACCGGGGCCGCCACAGGTCCAGATCCAGGGGGCGGGACTACCACAGACCCGCGCCAAATCGGCCGCCATGAGGCCCCGGGTGGCCGCCGTGAGGTCACAGGTGGCCGCCGCGAGATCACGTCTGGCCGCCATGGGGCCATGGGCGGCCGCCGCGAGGCTCTCGTTTCATATCCCCACTAACCCTGCGCAGTACGTGTTGCGCAGTGCGCGGCGGACCATCTCCCCATCCCACCATCATAGGGGGATGCGAAGTCCCTGGAGACGGGACGGGGTTGGCATGGGTTGGCATCATAAGCTGGCCCACTCCCAAAAAGAAGCATCATACTTCTACGTCAGTACACAAGAGTGATCCACAGACGGGTCCAATTAATCTTCCAAGGGGTGAAACAAGTATCCTAAATGCGAACGGCAGCAGTCCCAGACTCCCGACGTCGTGGCTCGATCCTAACGTGGGCCCCCAAGAAGGTCTGAACCCCTTGGAGGGGACGGGCCCTTGATCGGAGCAGTCTTTCGAGAACCCCGAGGCCAAGAAAAGGGCCCCTCGAAGCCAAACACAGCGAAAACAGAGCGTCCGTCGGGCTTTGTTTAGGTCGGGCACGTCCCCCAACAGGCGGATCTTGTAGAACAAATGAAAACAAGCAAAAACTTTTATTTAAAAAAGTCTATTAGAAACATCGTCCCCAGTCGATTTCCGGACTATTTTTGAACATTCCTCCTGTCGAGGGACCTGCCCGACTCAAGGCTTTGTGCGCGACGCGAGGGGGTCCTGGGCTGCCCGGTGCCGGGGCGGCACTCGGAGGGGCGCGCGAGCGAGGCCGGGGCCCCCCGAGAGTCGGGTCGCACTCGGCGCTGCCCCGCACCCCCCCGAGCGCGTCAGCTCCGGCAGCCCGAAGGCGGCGGAGAGAGGCCGACGCTCGTTGCGTCTTCGACTGCGGGCCCCTCGGTGCAGCGGGCGAAGAGCGGCATGTCATAAGCGTGTCCTTCGTCGGGGACGCCCGCCCCCCGGCCGGCTGGAAAACGTATATCATTACGGTGCCACGTAGGGGTATCAACTTTCCAATCGCCCGTGGCCAGGCGTCGACGACGGCGGAGAAGTTTATGTTATACCTTTCTTCGCCTAATTTGTAGCACATCGCTCCTGGCGGTCTTCGGAAGGTGTTCGACGGTCATCGGCAGTCTTCGGACGGCCTTCGGCGGTCTTCGGCGCGAGAGCGTGACGGTTGCGGTTAACCAGGGGTCCATGATCGAACACCTAACGCTCGCACCCGCGCCCAGAATGCAGCGAGGACAGAGCGACAGAGAGATCAGACGGGCAATGATGCTTAGAACGAAACTCCTGTTAGGTCTTCGTCCGAACGAATATAAAGGAGACTAAGCCCGACGAAAAGCCATTGAGGAAAATCAGATTTAGCCCAAGTTCAGCGGGATCCGGTCCGATTACGCGGAAATCAGCCAGACTACGCGGGACTCTGCCGGATTAGGCCGAATTCCGACCGCGGACAGATCAGCAACGATGCTGAACTTACCCAACGGTCAAAAGAAGTAGGTAGAAACATGAAGTAGGAAGGCGTTGAAAAAAGATTGGGTGTCCGCCGGCCCCCGAAGGAGGGCGGAAAAGATCATTGAAGTAGGAAGCCGCTTAAAGTATATTGGAATCTGGGACTCAAAAAAAAGCTACTTTCAGCGACCGACGGGTATATCAGCGACGATGCTGAACTTAACCCTTCAAGAATTGCACCCGAGGGATGCCATACGCGCAACAACAAGGGCTGGGCAGACGGGTCCCGAGGGAAAAACGGACGCCCTGGACCGCGGGGCCCCCGCCCGAGACCAGCTCTTCGTCCTGCGCCGCTTGCTGGCAGTCTCAGGGCCCGGCGAGGGGCCGGGGAGGCCCATGCGAGCGGAAAACCTCGGGCCGCCTTTGCGAGGGGGAGTTCATCCATATCCACCGCCCTGGAACCCACGTTCTGGCACCCCAACGGGCGGTGGATCTGAAAACATTTTGCCACCCAGGGGCCCGAGCATTTATATATATATATATATATATATACAAGACTGCAGTGGCGCTTCGCGCCATGCACCTTGGTCCTTGAAGTTTGGTTTGCAAGCGGAATGGCAGGAAAGTCAAGCCGACAATTTAGCGATAACTCCTGTTTGCCTTTTCCGGCATCGCCGCTATAATGATGTTATTCGTTATCCTTCCTCCATGCTTATTGTTCCTTATTTTCGCCATACCCTGCGCATTCTCCCCATCCTCCTCAGCTCTTTTTTGCGGAGGCTCCTCCTTGGAGAGCCTCTAGGGGCCTCACAAAAGTTGTTTCGGGCTTTCTGAAGGCCTTCTGGAGGCCTCCTGGGCGAATTCTGGGGGCCTCTGGGGGCTTCCTCGGGCCACCCTGCCTCCAACCGCCGTCTCCCTGAACGACCGAATCACGATTTGGAATTCTTCGGAGGGTGTCTTTGGGCCATCTTGGGCCGCCATGGGGCTCTCTGAGCGCCATCTTGGACCCGTGTTGTGCCGTTTTGGGGTTCTCTTGGACTGCCTGGAAGCCCTTTCGGATGGTTGTGGGGCGATTTGGGAGCCTCCCAGGCGGCTTCGGACGCCCAGAAGACCGCCGTCTTGGAGCGTCGGGAAGCCGAAAAGAGGAGAACCCCCAAATTCACCAAAAACCCACAGAAAATCAATGATTTTTGCCTCGGGGGGCCTTCTTGGGAGTGCTCTTGGAGGCCTCTTTGGGGCCGTCCTGGAGGCCTCTTGGGCCATCTTGAGGTCACGTCGGTAACTCTTGGAGCGCTCTTGTGCTGTCTTGGGGGTCTTTGGGACGTCTCCGATGACCCCCTGATCGCCCTAAGTGTGCTGGGAAGGCTTGGCAAAACGCCTTGCGAGGCCCGGTGGCCGCTTCGAGGCCCGTTCGGAAGGCCCCAAAGCCCCAAGTCCCGGGAGTCCGGTTTTTTTTTTTGGGGGGGGGGTGACGGGTTTTCCCCCCGCCCGGGCTTGTAAAAACATAGGAAGAGGAGTACATATATATATATATATATATATATATATATATATATATATATATATATATACATACATACATACATACATATATATATATATATACATATATATACACATATCCATATCCATATCCTTATTCGCCGCCTGTGGAGGTCCGCGAAGATCGATCCCACAAGCGGTGGTTACTCTGGGTTTCCGACTAAACGCCGGGGGGGCGTCACCCCCGCCGACAGCCCCACATCGACCCCCGTCTCGGGCAGCCACCGCGCGCCGAAAGCGCCCCGACCCCCGTCGCGGCGCGACGACGACGTGAGGTTGACACCCGTCGGGGGGGGTACCCCCCCGACGCTTATGAAGAAGCCCAGAGTATGAACAAATCCCCGCCCCTCGGAGCCCTTCCTTAGGGACCCGGTGGCTTCATGGCGACAGGGGGGCAGGCCGCGCCACCGGGCCTCCACATGTCTTGCCATGCCCAAGATGGCCAGCCAGCGTCGGCGTCCTCGGACAAGAAATGGGGGGGCGAGATGGATAATTTCTCCTGCTCCTCATCAGCATGATCATCATCATCATCATCATCATCATCATCATCATCATCATCATCATCATCATCATCATCATCATCAGCATCAGCATCAGCATCAGCATCAGCATCAGCATCAGCATCATCATCATCATCATCCAAACATCCATCCATCCATCCATCCATCCATCCATCCATCCATCCAACCATCCATCCATCCATCCATCCATCCATCCATCCATCCATCCATCCATCCATCCATCCTCCTCCTCCTTCTCCTTCTCCTCCTCCTGCTTCTCCTCCTCCTCCTCCTGCCTCCTCATCCTCCTCCGCCTCCTCCCCCTTCCCCTCCCCCTCCCTCCTCCTCTTCCGGCTCCTGCTCCTCCTCCTCCTCCTCCTGCTCTTCCTCCTCCTCCTCTTCCTCCTCCAATGGAGGGGCGAGATAGGTCATACGCAGAAGGCATCTATACACCACCGCCGTGCAAGGCCAGGGCCTTCCTGGCCCTAGCATGGTGTATACGCCTTCCTGGCCAAGGCCAGGAGGGTCTATACACCATCCTGGGCCCAGGATGGCCCTTGCATGGCACGGTGGTGGTGTGTAGATGCCTTCGTCGGAGATCAGGGCGGCGGCGGCACGTGGCGAGGACGGGGCGGGAACTTTTCGCGTCGGCGGCCAGGCAGGGGACGTCTGCGCTGGCGATGGAGCAGGCCTGAACGGGGATGCCGTTCGAGAGCGAATCGTGCCACCATGCAGGAGGAGGAGCGGGGGGGAGAGCGCGACCGAAAGAGGGGCGGACAGAACGAGCGGCTCACCGGGGCGGGAACAGAAAGATGAGGACGAGCACGCCCCGAGGACCAGGCATGCGCAGATGATCTTCAGTCCAGGGGATGCGATGCACAAGCCATGGTATTCGTGCGACACTTGTAAGGTTGAGGGGTCTTCATGCCGGACTGGCCACCGTACCAATGATACAATGGACACGGGAAGTGCCTAGAAAATCTGGCGAGTAAGAATGGGCAGCGCATAGAAAGAGGAACGATGGACACAACAGCGCGCCAATGCACCTATGAACGGAGACCCGTGCATGTCACGCACGGCTTGTTGGTTGATGGATCGCGCCCTGCAAGTAGCCTGAACTTGGATTCCAATCGACGAAGTCCATCTAGCAGCACCATGCGCATGGACGAGACCAGGGCGAAGACTGGCTGGCGGGGTCGGAACATCCAGAGTCCCAGCTAACCATCGTCATCGGCGTTGCACTGCTACCTGGAAGGTATACGAGTGAACTCGTTGGTGGCAGCCCGCAGAAGCGGCAGCAACTACAGTAGGAGCCCGACCACAAGAAACCTTCCACAAGACACCCAACTGTAACCCCAGGGCGACCCTTGATTTCTGGTGTGGGAGAGTCACGCGTTCCACAGGCAAACCATCGACGGCCAAGACACCCAGGGCACCCTGGAGGCGAGCGGGGCGCTTCTTGGCACGAGTCTCCACTGCACTCCCCCGCTGCTCCCTTCGCCAGGTGGTGCTGGCTCCTCTTGTGCCAAGGGGCCAGTGGCGGCTGTGAGCCCGAGGATCGGCTCCTCAAGGAGGTCTCCCGAGCGCCTCGAGAGAGGCCCCCGCCCAAGCCATGTGGCTCGCACGTCGTGCTCTGGTCGGCGGCGAGAGGGGGGGAAGTGAGATTGGGCGGGCCTTCTCAGAAGGCTCGGAAGTCCCTCAGCATTCGGAGGAGTTGTCTGAGCCTTCCCCGAAGACGCAGGAAACTTCTCAGAAGGCGCGAGGGTTTCTGAGAAGCCCCGCCGCCTTCTTAGAAGGCCTTCTCCTTCTCACTTACCCCCCCTCGCCTCTGGCTCGCATGAGGCCCAATATTTTTCATCCCCGCGGGCTGGAAGAGGCGAAGGTGAGGTGAGCAGTGGCCTGAAGGCGCAGCATCCCGCCGCATTGGTCCCCAGCGGGGCCCCAAGCCCGCTGAGCAGGCAGCGAAACGCCACCCTGGACGAGGCGAGGAGGCGGGCACGGAGGCGCGACGGAGGAAGGCACAGAGAGCGGAGGAGAGAAGGGGGGGGGGCGGTCCCTGGCCTGCCCAGCGGCGTGTGGCCCCCCAGCCCAGGGGGCGAAAACGGCATCCATCCAGATTCGGGGGCCGCTCCGGAAAAGGCGAAGGCAGGAGCAGACCCAGGCCGAGCAGGCAAGCGAGACGCCGATGAAAATCCTCATTGCTCGCGCGGCTGACGCCCGTTAGAGCATGCATGCCGCGGGCCGCCCTTCCTCTGGCGCGCCCTGCTGTTGCGCGGCAGCAGCCGCTGCGGGCTGCCTATTTCTTGTATGAGTGTGGCATTTGTTTCCGAGGGGGTAACAGATACTACCAGGGTGGTGGTGGAGCGGGGCAACGGCGGGAGGGTGACCGTAACGACGGCTACAGCGCACTGGTGCGCACGATGCCGGACCCTGCCAATATCGCATGGCGCATGCTAACAAGGCGCTATGAACAGTCGTGTGCCAGCCCCTGCCAACACCACATAGCTTTGGGGCGCCTGCGACCGATAGCACTCATCCCGTGTGTAACGCACTCGCCCGCGAGCGCCCGCAACCTGCCTGTGTACAGCACAGCGAGCTTGTGAGCACAGCGGTGCGCCTGTGACCACCGCAACACCAGGGCGCGCATGTGCAACCATGACGTGTTTGTGCTCACCGGACGACGAAGACATAGCCTGCGAGCCTAACACATCGCAGGTGCACGGTCCCACGAAACGTGCACTTGCGCACGTGTGAGCCACATGCACACGGGCCCGTGGGCACCAAAAGCCTGTGCACACCAAGAGCTTCCGAAGTTCCGTTGGTCAGCCGTGCCGTGACGCCCGAAGCAGGGGGGATTTTTGCAGAAGGAGATTCAGCGCGTGGTCGCTCAACCTGTCTGATGGGGGCTGGATACCACGTGACCATGGCCTGGCATGACAGGAACAAGCATGGGACACGAAGAGGGACGATCTGCCGATGCCATTGTCTTGCTCGCCTGTTTGTCATCGCTGTCGAAGCACTCAATTATGTTGTTCCCTCCTTTTCTCCCTTGTTCGTCTTCGCTCCTCTGTCTGTGACCTCACAGTGGCGCGCAAGCGCCGCAATATGCCTGCAGGCGCCACAATGCGATGGCGACAACCAAGCGGAGACAGACGTCGGACCCTTGAAGAAACACAATAGGCTTAGGTCAGGCATGTCCTCCGACAGTCAGGTCTTGGACGAAACATGGAGAAACAAAAAAACATTTCATGCTAGAACATGATCAAAAATGGTAGGCCAATCATCCTCACACTATTTTTCACGGTTTTTGAATTTTCCTCCTGTGGCAGGACATGCCCGACTCAACGGTAGGCATGCGAGCGCCGCACGTGCGCGCAGCAGGGCGCCACACCCTCGCAACACAGGAAACATTTTAGAGCGTAACGACCCCGTCTGTGAAACAACGACCGGCGAAACCGTTTGTAGGAGGGGGGGTCTCATGTACAGGCTGCGCACGGGATCCGAATAGGGGCTCTTGAAAGCTATAGGGGCCCATGGAGGCTGCAGAGGGTCCCAGGAGAATCGCATCAGAACTGTCTGGAGTGGTTGCCGGCATAGCACGCGAACGCCGCAGCGTGCCTGTGAGTGGCTCTCGGGCGTTGCCGCTACGGGGGGCGGGGACGGGAAGAGGGAGTACCTGCGCTACGCCCGGAAAGTTAGTCGACGCGGAGATCTCCATGTGTGCAGCTCATAACTCCTGACACGTCTCGCTGAAGAGCTCTGTCTGTGAGCATCTGGGTGTGAGAGCGAATCCGCGCAGACGACAGGCGCGACAACGACGACAGCGACGACTTCACTGACAGAAGACTTCTCCTCCTCATCTGGACATCTTTCAGTAGATTTGAAGGAAACACAGATGGCAGACCGAGGGAGGATTCCTCTTGCCGTTGTCACTGCGGCAACTCAGGCGAGCGCGCATGGCGTTATTACGCCCGCTCTCGGGCGTGCTACTCGTGGTGCCTGCTGGCATTGGAGGCGCCCAAATGGCACTCCGGTTATATCGCGGGAACCACCTGCGTGTGAGCCTTAGTGCGAGTGAATCTGATTGTGAGTGGTCTGAGTGTGAGCGAGTCGGAGTCCGAGCGATGATTAGGTCTGAATGCGAGCGAGTCTGAGTGCGAGTGGGTCTGAATGTTAGTCTGAGTGTGCGACGAATATGAATTTCAATATGAGTGAGCCTTAGTACGAGGTCGCCTCAGTATGAGCGAGTCTGAGGTAGCCTTAGTACGAGGTAACCTTAGTACGAGTGAGCCTCAGTACGAGGTAGCCCTAATACGAGGTATCGCAGTGAGCAGTGGACCACCAAACAGGAAACGCTTGCGGGGCAAAGGTGAACCGACCGCTTGAGACAGCCCCACGATCTGGGCGCAAACGCGCGAGTGCCGTACCCCCTGGTGGCTCCGCCTTGGGGTGGCCAAGTGCCACGCCTGCTATACCGTTGGGAACAGTGGGCCAAGAGACGAGGAACGTTCGGAGGAGCATAAGCAGGGAAACCGCTTGAGACATGCCCGCAACCTGGGCGCGAACGGGGGGGGGTGATACCACCTGGCGGCCCCTGCTTGGGGCGCTGAAGCCATCGCGAACGGAGGAACGAGGCACCCTCTGGCGGCTCCCCCTCGGGGTGTTGAAGCCATCGCCTCGCCTGAGACGTCCCCACAATCTGCTCTGATCACGAGAGATTATGACTACATCTGGCTACTAAAACAAGCAAGCCGCTGGAGACATCCCCACAACCCAAGCGCGAACGGAGGAATGATCTACCTCCTGGCGGCTCCCCGCTGGGGTACTGAAACCCGCGCCTCGCCTGAGGCATCCTCAAAATCTGCTCTGAACGCAGACGAGCCTGGCCACCCCAAGAAGCACACCGCCTGAGACATCCCCACGACCCAAGCGCGAACGGAGGAATGAGATACCCCCTGGCGGCTCCCGTTTGGGATGCTGAAACTGGCGCCTCGCCTGAGACACCCTCACAATCTGCTCTGAACGCAAACGAGCCTGGCCACCAAAGCAGGCAAACCGCCTGAGGCATTCCCGTCTGGGCGAGAACGGAGGAATGAGATACCCCCTGGCGGCTCCCCGTCGGTATGCTGAAGCCCGCGCCTCACCTGAGAGATCCTCGCAATCTGCTCTAAATGCAAACGGGTTTGACCACCCCATCAGGCAAACCACCTATAACATCCACACAACCTGGGCGTGAACAACCGAGGAGTGAGACATCCCCTGGCGGCTTCCCCTTGGAATGCCCGAGTGCTACGCCTGCTCTATCAACGTTAGCATTGAACAACTAAGTGAGCGTGAGTAAGTCTGATGCGACGCCCGATATACCGCAGCAAATATGAGAGTGAGCGAATCTGAGTGGCAGCGCGCATGTGTATGAGTAGGTCTGAGTACAGGTGAGCCTGAGTATGAGTGCACCTGAGTGTGAGTGAATCTGCGCGTGAGTGAGTCTGAATATGAATGAGTCTGAGTGTGGGCGAATCCGACTCTGAGCATGTGTGGGTGCAAGTGCGCGAGACAAGCGGGTGTGAGGCCGGAGAAGTGGGAGTGGAGGCGCCCGAGTGATGTCAATAACCCACTCTTTAGGCCATGGGAAAAACACATGGCTGCGGCGATGCGCGCGTGGCAAAGCGCACACGGCGCACTGCGCGCACGGAACAAAAAAGAGAGCGCCCGAGGCGCAGGGAAGACGCGGCGCCTTCCGCACAGCTAGGTGGCGGCGCAGCAACTCAGAGGCCCCGCCTCCTCCTGCTGCTTCTGCTGCGCCTCTCCTCCTTCCTTTTCCCGCCTTCCCCCGCTACGAAATGTCCTGGCGATGGATTCCATTCGGTTCCAGGCGTGGGTAATTACCGCAAGGCAGGTGGGACGGAGGGAAGGCACTTTCCCACGGTGCTAAGAAGCTTGTGAGGAGTGTGCCGCCATGGGGAGGTGCCGCCATGAGGGCGCTGGCACAAGCGTCGTTGGTGGAGCTCTCTATCTCCCGTGGGGCCCCAAAATGTGTGAGGGCTGTGCCGACATGAAACACCGACGCCATGCGGACCCTGGAATTTGGGCCTTCGGTGGAGCTCCATGTGGGGTGACTATGCGTGTGAGCGTTGTGCCTGTATCGGTGCGGCGCCGCCTTGCAGACCCTGCTGCTGAGGTCTTAGCTGGAGCTCCCTATGGGGCCACGAAACGTGTGAGAGGTCAGTCGAAATGAGGCGGCGACCCCCTGCAGACCCTGGTATGTTGGCCTTAGCTGGAGCTCCCTGTGGGGCCAGGGAACGTGTGAGGGATGTACCGACATGGGGCGGCGACGGCGGCGACGGCATGCGGACCCTCGCATTTGGGCCTGAGTTGAAGGGCCCTGCAGGGCCACGAAACGTGTGAGGGTTGAGCCGATGTGAACCGACGACGCCACGCAGACCCTGGCACTTGGACTAACTGTATGGCCGCGGAACGTATGATTGGTGAGCCGAAATGAAGTGGCGACGCCACCCGAACCTTGGCACCTGGGCCTTCGCTGGAGCTCTCTATGGGGCCACGAAGCGTGTGAGGGGTGTCCGCAATGAGGCGGCGACGCCACGCGGACCCTGGCACTTCGGCCTTAGTTGGAGCTCCCTATGGGGCCACGAAACGTGAGGGGTGTGCCGACATGAGTCAGTGACGCCATGCGGACTCTGGCCTGTGGGCATTAGCTGGAGCTCCCTATGGGACCAAGCATATGAGGAGTGTGCCGAAATAAAATGGCGACGCCAAGCGGATCCTGGTATTTGGGCTTCGCTGGAGCTTCTTAGGGGGCCGCGCGAAAGATGGGAGGGGACGACAGTGAGGACATGCGAAGGGCAGAGACAGGGATGGGAGGAGGGAGGGACGGAGGGGGAGGATGAGGAAGGAAGTGGACGCGGGCCGACGTCTATCCAGAGCGAGGACCCAACACCACAGGATGGTTGGGAAACGGGCCCCCCCCGAGGCCAAAAACGACCGATGCCCAGGACGTCTCACCGCAACATCGGTCGATGTGAGCGTCCCTGTCCACATGGTGGGCCTCAACCGCGCTCGCCGTCCGCGTCATCGCCCACGACCGGCGCAAAGGCACGAGAGCTTTTGAAAGAGGCCTCGCCGATGGCGCGGCCCGCCTGGAGCACCTGGCCCACGATCCTGGCCTTGGACCAGCCCTGCTTCTGGCACGCCGTGCTTAGGAACAAGCTGGTGCGTTCGCAGGGGCGTATGTTGGCCCGCACCATCTCCTGATACACGGAAATGGCCTTCGCAAGCATCTGGACCTTGACGTAGCAGTGGATGGCGTCGTCGAAGGCATAGCAATTGGGTTCGAGTTTCGCCGCACGCATCGATTCGAAGAGGGTCAAGGCCTCCTTGGCCATGTCTGCGGCAGTGTACAGCCTGATCATGATACCATAGGTCTTGCCACTGGGGGCTAGCCCATGATGAGGCAACATGTTAAACAGCTCCACGGCATGACTGAGCTTGCCGAGCTGCGAGCAGGCGCACAACGCAGCATTGAAAGCCGCCCTGTCGACCTTGAGGCCTCGACTCATCATCTCGTCGCACATCTCCAGCGTGAGCTGTGGCTGGGCCCGCTCGTAGGCAGACATAAGGCAACGGTACACAGTCGGGCTAAGGCTGACGCCCTCTTCCCTCAGTGTCATAAAAAGTTGAACAACATGCTCGGGAAGCTTGCTCCTCCAAGCGCAGATGATGCGATTCTGGATGAGCAAAGTGGGTGCAAGCCCGTGAGCTCGAATGAGCCCGATGAGCTCGACACTAACATCCTGCATGCACTTCTCATCGAGGCTTTCCGTCAAGATCTTGAAGAATCTGCTAACCAAGCTGCTCTTGACCGTGTGCAGGTCATCCACGGTGCTGTTCTCCAGCATGTACTTGAACAGTGCGATCGATATCCCCGAATCAACGGCGTAAGCGTGCTGCCTCACGCAGGCAGCAAACACCGCCAGGAAGTTCGACGCATTGACTGTGCAACCCTCTCTCTGCACGTCGCTTATAATCTTGATGTCGGACAACATATGTCCGTGCCCGTCGACTTCCGGCAACGAATTGGGAACCTCGTCGATGTTCTCCAAGGGGCTCCTTGCGTTTGTAGGAATCGTGGCTGCCGACGAGCGCTGGAATCTTGAACGTGGGACTTCGCGCTCGCCATGACAGTGGGCGGCCTTGCCTCGAGCGATCTGGCCTTGTCGGTGGGCATGACACTCATCCTTCGAGACCACGTCCTGCGTCCGGTGCTGCTGCATCCGCGCGGGATCTTTCGTCCCGCCTGCATCGACAGAGCCCGCCGAGAAGATGAGGACCAGCAGCAGCAGGATGATGAACTCCTTCTGCACCGGCCCCACAGCCGCTTCACTCAGAAGAAGCACAGCGCCTTCGCTGATTGCAAAAAGGGAAATGCCGAAACCTACGATGTAGACGGCATGCTGATAGCAGGAATGCCAGGCGTATGCTACGGTCTCAGACGTAGACCACATGGCTCGACCGCTTTACAAATAAGTAGGCTGCGTAGTTTGGAAGATCAAAAGTAAATCTGGTTAGGGCACGAAGCACCTTGGATTGTTTGAGCCAGAACGACTGCGGATCGTGTTATTAATTCGCTCTTCGCTGGTCATACCCTCATAATCGAACGGCTCTTGGGATCCCAAAATTTTGCCTATGCATCGCTTGCCGTTCGTTGCTCGATTGCCGTGATGCGGAATGCAGAACTGTAGTAGAGTGGTCCATGGCTTGCTTTCCGTTTGCCATGTGGCTATGTTGTCGCTCATCTTCAGCACGAGCAACCCCGTCCTTGGGATTGGGCAGGGGTCAATTTCTCAACCTGGGTGACGCTGACCAGCCTTCTGCCATCCACACGCGATCTGGCCTACTGCTCCGCGCCGGGAACACAGGAGAAAATGAAACCTACAGAAAGACCGATATCGCACTGAGCAAGAACAGACACCGTGCTGAATCAAATCAAGCCTCCTCCTCTAGAATTGGTGGTTGAAAAACGGGGTCCTGGGGACGTGGCGCCCCGAACAAAAAAATCACCCCCCGGACCCCTTCCTATCCTCAGGACCCCATCCGTCAAGACCCCGTCCTTGAACCACCGACAGAAAGCCCGCTGTCAAAATCCTGAGTCGAACCATGTTGTCGCTTCCGCCGGCGAGGACGCAGCAGGGCAAGCGCCGAAGCCATCGAGGAGCCCCCCCTGGCCGAACAACGGCGCGCCCCCACGAGGGCCGCAGGCGGCAGGAAGAAACCAAAGTGGCGGCGAGCGTGGCTGGCACACAGGGCGCGGCCGCAAACAGAGCCCCTAGTCGAAACATCTGTTACATCAAGTAGCTACTTCCGCTGGCTTCCGCCGGAAAGGCCACCCTCGTTCTGCTTCCGCCGCCTTCCGCCACCTGCCGTTACGTTGCGTCCTCAGGGGGACCTTGTCTGTCCCATCGCGCCGTCGTTTGCCTCAAATCCATGTCGAGCGCGTCGATTCCGCGTCGAACCCACGTCTAACCACATCGAATCGCGCGTCGAATCCGCGTGGAATTAACGTAGGAGAGAAACACATACTAGAGCCTGTTTGTGTTGTCCTCGGGCAATAACGGGCATGATCGGGGGCGGGGGACCCGGAGCGCTGATAACGTCGAGGGGTGCGTGAGTCGAGACAGAAACAACAGGGATAGCAGTCGTAGTAGTAGTGGTAGTAGTAGTGGTAGTCGTAGTAGTAATAGTACGTAGTAGTAGTAGTAGTAGTAGTAGTAGTAGTAGTAGTAGTAGTAGTAGTAGTAGTAGTAGTAGTAGTAGTAGTAGTAGTAGTAGTAGTAGTAGTAGTAGTAGTAGTAGTAGTAGTAGTAGTAGTAGTAGTAGTAGTAGTAGTAGTAGTAGTAGTAGTAGTAGTAATAGTAGCAGTAGTAGTAGTAGTAGTAGTAGTAGTAGTAGTAGTAGTAGTAGTAGTAGTAGTAGTAGTAGTAGTAGTAGTAGTAGTAGTAGTAGTAGTAGTAGTAGTAGTAGTAGTAGTAGTAGTAGTAGTAGTAGTAGTAGTAGTAGTAGTAGTAGTAGTAGTAGTAGTAGTAGTAGTAGTAGTAGTAGTAGTAGTAGTAGTAGTAGTAGTAGTAGTAGTAGTAGTAGTAGTAGTAGTGGTAGTAGTACTGGTAGTAGTAGTAGTAGAGTAGTAGTTAGTAGTAGTAGTAGTAGTAGTAGTAGTAGTAATAGTAGCAGTAGTAAGAGTAGTAGTAGTAGTAAGTAGTATAGTAGTAGTAGTAGTAGTAGTAGTAGTAGTAGTAGTAGTAGTAGTAGTAGTAGTAGTAGTAGTAGTAGTAGTAGTAGTAGTAGTAGTAGTAGTAGTAGTAGTAGTAGTAGTAGTAGTAGTAGTAGTAGTAGTAGTAGTTAGTAGTCGTAGTAGTAGTCGTAGTAGTAGTAGTAGTAGTAGTAGTAGTAGTAGTAGTAGTAGTAGTAGTAGTAGTAGTAGTAGTAGTAGTAGTGTAGTAGTAGTAGTAGTAGTAGTACTAGTAGTAGTAGTAGTAGTAGTAGTAGTAGTAGTAGTAGTAGTAGTAGTAGTAGTAGTACCAGGTAGTAGTAGTGGTAGTAAGTAGTAGTAGTAGTAAGTAGTAGTAGTAGTGTAGTAGTAGTAGTAGTAGTAGTAGTAGTAGTAGTAGTAGTAGTCGTAGCAGTAATAGTAGTAGTAGTAGTAGTAGTAGTAGTAGTAGTAGTAGTAGTCGCAGTAGTAGTAGTAGTAGTAGTAGTCGTAGTAGTAGTAGTAGTCGTAGTAGTAGTAGTAGTAGTAGTAGTAATAGTAGCAGTAGTAGTAGTAGTAGCAGTAGTAGTAGTAGTAATAGTGGTAATAGTAGTAGTAGTGGTAGTAGTAGTAGTAGTAGTAGTAGTAGTAGTAGACGTAGTAGTGGTAGTAATAGAAGTGGTAGTGGTAGTAGTAGTAGCCGTAGTAGTAGTAGTAGTAATACTAGTAGTAGTAGTAGTAGTAGTAGTAGTAGTAGTAGTAGTAGTAGGGTTGACCTTAGCCTCTTTGCCCCAGGGGGCCTCTGGGATCATGTGGTAATCGTATGGTAGTCGTATGGTAATCGTATGGTAATCGGATGGTTATCGTATGGCTATCGTATGGTACCCGTATGGTAATCGTATGGTAATCGTATGGCAGTCGTAGGGTAGTCGTATGGTGATCGTACGGCGATCATGTGGGAGTCGTATGGTAATCGTATGGTAGTCGTATGGCTTTTCGTATGGAAACCGTATGGTAATCGTACGGTAATCGTATGGATTTTCGTATGGTAATCGCGTATGGTAATCTAATGGCAATCGTATGTTAACCGTATGGTTTACGCCTGGCAATCGTATGGTAATCGTATGGCTGTCGCATGGTTATCGTAAGGTTTTTGTGTGGTAATCGCATGGCTTTCGTAAGGTAATCGTATGGTCGTCGTATGGTATTCGTATGGTAATCGTACGGTAGTCGTATGGTCATCACATGGTAACCGCATGGTACTCGTATGGTAGTCGCATTGTAGCCTGGTAATCGTATGGTAATCGTATGGTGTTTTCGTATGGCAATCGTATGGTAATCGTATGGCTGTCGCATAGCAACCGTAGGGTTTTCGCATGGTGACCGTATGGTAATCATGGGGCTATCGCATTGTAATCTTAAGGCTTTCGTATGGAAATCGTAAAAGGTAACCGTACGATAATCGGATGGTATTCGGATGGTAATCGTATGGCAATCGCACGGTGTGGTAACCGATGGTAATCGTATGGTTGTCGGTCGCATTGTCGCCGTATGGTAGTCGCATGGTAACCGTATGGTAAATCGTGTGGTAGCCGTATGGTAATCGTATGGCAATCGTATGGTATTCGTATGGTTATGCTAATCGCTTGGCTGCCGCATGGTTATCGTGCGGTTTTCGTGTGGTACTCGTATGGCGATCGTATGGTAGTCGTATGATAGCCGTGAGGTAGTCGTATGGTAGTCGTATGGAAATTGTATGGTACGCGTATGGTGATTGTATGGTAATCGTGTGGTAACCGTACGGTAATCGTATGGTAACCGTATGGTAGTCGTACGGTAACCGTATGGCAGTTGTATGGTAATCGTATGGTAGTCGCATGGTAGCCGTATGGCTTTCATATGGCCGTCGTATGGTGATCGTACGGCAATCGCATGGTCGTCGTATGGTAGTCGTATAGCGTGTCGTATGGTAGTCGCATGGTTTTCGTATGATTATCGTATGGTTTGCGTACGGTAATCGTATGGTAATTGTATGGTGTTCGCATGGTAATCGTATGATAGCCGCGTGGTAATCGCATGGTTTTCGTATGATTATCGGTGGGCGTATGGTAATCGTATGGTAGTCGTATGGCAATCGTACGGTAGTCGTATGGTAATCGTATGGTTGTCGTATGGCTATAGTATGGTAGTCGTATGGTAATCGTATTGTCATCGTATGGTGTTCGTGTACTTTTCGTGCGCGGCGGTTCCCCCCACCAGGATCCCCACCACCGCCCCTTCCAACCTTCCAAGGAATAAAGTGGGCAAGCAAAGTAAGGTCAGCCCTAGTAGTAGTGTGCTACTACTAGTCGTGGTGATAGTAGAAGTTGTAGTAGTAGTGGGTAGTGGTAGGAGTAGTAATAGTAGTAGTGGTGGTAGTAGTAGTAGTCGTAGTAGAAGTCGTAGTAGTCGTAGTAGTAGTAGTAGTAGTAGTAGTAGTTGTAGTAGTAGTAGTACTAGTAGTAGTAGTAGTAGTAGTAGTAGTAGTAGTAGTCGTGGTAGTAGTAGTAGTAGTCGTAGTCTTAGCAGTAGTTGCTGTTGTCGTAGTAGTAGCAGTAGTAGTAGTACTAGGAGCAGTAGTAGTAGTAGCAGTCGTACTAGTACTGGTAGTAGTAGTAGTAGTAGTAGTAGTCGTAGTAGTAGTAGTAGTCGTGGTAGTAGTAGAGGTAGTAGTAGCAGTAGTAGTAGTAGTAGTAGTAGTAGTAGTGGTAGTAATAATAGTAGTAGTAGTGTAGTAGTAGTAGTAGTAGTAGTCGTAGTAGTAGTAGTAGTAGTAGTAGTAGTAGTAGTAGTAGTAGTAGTAGTAGTAGTAGTAGTAGTAGTAGTAGTAGTAGTAATAGTAGTAGTAGTAATAGTAGTAGTAGTAGTCGTCGTAGTAGTAGTAGCAGTAGTAGTGGTAGTAGTAGTAGTAGTAGTAGTAGTAGTAGTAGTAGTAGTAGTAGTAATAGTAGTAGTAGTAGTAGTAGTAGTAGGTAGTAGGTAGTAGTAGTGGTAGTAGTAGTAGTAGTAGTAGCAGTAGTAGTAGTAGTAATAGTAATAGTAGAAATAGTAGTAGTAGTCGTAGTAGTAGTAGTAGTAGTAGTAATAATAGTAGTGGTAGTAGTAGGAGGAGGAGGAGTACGAGTACTAGTCGAAACCAATTGCCCTAGCCAGCTCAACCTGCCAACCCGTCCAACCAGCCAGCCAGCCCACCCAGCCACCCCGCCACCTAGCCAACCCGTC